GGCGAGCGTGCTACCGCTGGAGCCACATCCCCAGCCCCTTTATTTTATTTTCATGTGGTGCTGAGGATCAAACTCAGCACTCCGTGCATGCCAGGCAAGTGTGCTGCCGCTTGAGCCACATTCCCAGCCCTATTTCTTCATATTTATTTAGGGTGGTGTGTGGTCATGGAATTGGTTCCATAGCCTGGTGCTGGGTGACATTGGAATCAGGAAGTGGGTCTTCCTAGAGTCAGCTTTCAGTGCTGAAGCTCATGTTTGTAGAGTCAACATGAGTGAGTGGTGAGAACCACAGACATAGACAGGAGACCATTCACAGCCAATGTTTATTCAGACCTGCTGTGGTCTACAACAAGTTTCATCCTGGGAATTCAGCAGTAACATGATGCATCTTTTGCACTAAGAGTTTTCAACTTCTCGATGGGTCTGTGCTTTGGACACATTTAGTGTGCAGTCTAATAGTCTCTCCCACCCACTAGAGCCTGTGTTTTGTCCCCTCTCTTTCTTGAAAATCCAGATAGTTTTTCCATGTATCAAGCATCCAGTGATAAGTATATAGTACAACACACAATAATGGCATGGAACATTAAGTTCACCAGAATTCTTTGTAAGGGCAATTCTGCACTTTTAAAGGACTGAAATATATAGGTTCTTGCATCATTTGCCTCTTAAACATGGGTGTGATGGCTGAAGCTGCAAGAGCGGAACAGGGACATGAAGAAAGTATCAGCAAGCCAAGTCAAGCGAGTTTCGAGAGAAGGGTATTCCTAGAAAGATCGGGCAATCTCACACTAAGCATGCTGAGGGGGAGGAGGAAGGAGAAGTTTGCAAGAGGGAGCCAAGCCAGGAGACAAGCCTGCCATTCAAGGCCTGCACCGTGCCCCACTGGTGCCAAGACATCTGTGTCCCCCATCCCATCCCACTCCACCCTCGGTCATTGGGCCACTTGGGACTGCACAGAACAGTTGGTGAAGAAGAGGGAGATTCCCCTGGCCCCTCACCTCCTAGAACACATGGTAGACAGCCAGGATGGGGAGTGGCCTCTGCCATATTGTGGCCCCTCCCCCCACGGAAATTCTCCAACCCAGAAAAGCCAGGTAAGCTGAATTTTCCCTGGGCCAAAACCATCCTCCAGGGTCTAGCCCACCAACAGTGTACCACCCAAGTTCCAATCTGCCTTAGATGTGTGGAGATAACTTTAGCTAAATTTTATGCTTCTCCTGCTTCCCTACAAGGGACCAAAAGTCAACAGAATTGCCAGCTTTTCTCAAATCACCTTTTACACCCATTTTAGCTCTGTTTTAAAGAATTTTGATAAACTTTACTCCCCTTTGTTAAATGGGATTAGGGAAGCAACGTTTTCTTTTCTTCCTGAAGTTGGCTTGAGTGCACCACTACAGAGGGAAATGCCTGCTGGGGATCTAAGAACTTTAGTATCTCCCTTTTTTCCCCCAAAACTCTGTCCTCATTATTAAATTGGCATTAATTGGCTTCAAGGACAGGAACTGAACTTTCAGATACAAATGTTGACACCCCAGGGGCCCCACTCCACTTTCTTGGGGAAACCTACTACTGAAAAGTTAGGAGATATGGAGCATGCCTAGTGCCTGGGGTGGGAAAAAACAGATGAACCAATCTTATAAGTAAAAGGAGGGACTTAGGGACTCCCAGCAGCTGCTGAAGCCCTTTTGCTTTGGGGAACTCCCTCCTTCCTTCCCTGCACTGTAAGGATTACTTCACCTCTGTCTACTTAAGAAGAAAAAAGGTAGGGGAACATTGAGTGCAGTAATGTGTTGATATTGTAGATTATTTCTTGGGAATGATCTTGGATGAATGTGTGTCTAAAAGATGATGTTTGTAACAATATGGTATCTGAATGGGTTTTTGAAACATTGCACAATCTTGCAGTTAAAAGTTGGGTTTAGGTAATTGTTTAGTTTATGATTTCAGATAACTCACGCCAGAGAACTTAAATACTTAGGATGGAAAACTAAAGAACTGTACTTCCAAGTTGGCAAGTAACTCCCAATAATTCAGTTTTTTTTTCATCAATTTTTGAATTACCCGTAGACTGGGAAGATTTTACTAGGTGTACCAGTGAATTATTAATTTGGGCAAGGATAGTAATCTGTTCCCCTCAGTGTGTAGGATTTAGGAAAGGAAAGTATTTGATTGGGACGTTGGTCTGGCTTATTGAAATGACATTGAATAGCAAAAGTCTTGGAAATTTTTAAAGCTTAATTTTGAATATAGATGGTAGTGTGTGGCTCTCTTTTGGAATTTTTTTCAGGTGATTTAATGTAACTTAATACTACATTAGGAACTTTAGAACAAAGGAATGGCTTAATGATCCTGAAGGGATTTCTTCTGATGGTAGCTTTTATATTATGAAGTAAGATCCTATTTTCAGTTTTGTGTGAGCAAGTTTTTCTATGTAGGAAAAATTTTTTTCTTTGATAAAATAAGATGTAAAGGTATTAAAGTTTGTTATTTGTATCCAAAACTTGTATCATAGTTTTCAACATTCAAACCTGAAAAAATATGACTTATGGTTAAAATGCTTTAGGCATAAAGTTTCTGCTCAGAATAGCAGTTTTCCCTGCTCCTTCCAGACCTCAGCCAGGACTTAAATTGAAATGCAAATGGAAGAAGCCTGCAAGCTCAGTAGAGACTGATCTGAGGCCCAAGGAAAAAAGGGGGGGGGCGGGGGGTAAAAGGTATCTTTTTACCTGAACTCAAACTAGACTAAACCAAAAAGTAAATTGTGTGGTATTTACTAATTACTGACCAATCATTTTTTTCTAGGACCCTTGCTTTTTCTTAGATTCTGTATTTTTTGAGCTCATGATTTTGACCCTGTAGACCTAGGTTAATATTTTTCTGATCAGTTCTATTTTTTATAAACTGTGGAGTTTTAAAACATTTCAATGGAGATTTCACCTGTGAAAAGCTACAAGGCCTTTACTTTTGTGTTATGTGTGTACATTTGTGTTATGTGTTGTATGTCTGTATGTGCGTATGTCCATATGTCATACACATGGTATGAAGATTGGCAGATATATGAGGAGCACTCATGAAAAAATTTAAAAAAATAAATGGATCCAATATCTTTTATTCATGTGATTTAAATGGTTCAATTTAAATTGGTGAACAGACGAAAGTAAAGATGTATAAAGAAGGTCTGTGTAAGTTTGTTTTTACAATCAGTCATATGTTAAAAGGACAATCAGGAGGCGGTGCTGTGGGTGGTGACGGAAAAGGCAGACCACCTCCAGGATAGGTTTAGGACTCTTCTGCCCTTGTGGACAGTTAGTGCCTTCCCTTATGGACTATGGGATAGGTGTACATAAGAACTCGCTCCATCCCTTTAATCTTATCCTGATTGGCTTCTGTGCAGGGTATAAGCTGTGTGTACTTCCTCAATAAATGAGATCCTGCTTCAACTCGTCTCCCTGGCGCATCTGATTGTTCTCTG